AAACTGAAATGAGAGAAAGACTGAGTGTGAGACTTTGATATTAGATAAAATTAATATTGATAAAGTTTACCTTTATGTACAGAATCTGAATATTTTTTAAAAATATTTTTTAAAAAATCGCAATAATATCATATCGTGGGATTCGTGGGATGTATGGTGATTCCCACCTCTAGAATTTAATAAATTTGACAAGCTGAACGCATTCTGTACTGTACAGGAGACACGGCACGAGATTGAATAATCTACAGCCAATCAGGAAGCAGAACACAATGAGACGTAAAAAAGTGAACCGCATTATAGCGAGGGACCACTGTTCTCTAATTTTATTTCCCCTCATACACAGCATGTCATGGAAGTAAAAAAATTGTATTATCGGAGCAGTGAATGGAAAAATCCCACTAAAATTGGTGATAAATCGTTAAGTAAAACAAATAAACTAATGAAACTGTGTAAACTTCTCTTTGGTCCACCCAGTCCTGGGACGTGTGGGTGAAAATCCCCTGATCTCCAAAAGTTGATTCTGTTCATCTGGACGTAGCATCATGAGAATTTGCATAATTATGATTAAGGAAGTGACCTCACAGCCCATTGTTCCTTCAGTGGGCTGGTTTCAGTCATTATGCAAATGTGCTGTTTATAAGATTGGAAACCTGCAGTCAGCTGAGACTGAAGACGTTACCTGGATGAGTGACGAAACGTTTCTCCCACAAAACGCTACGTCCAGATGAACAGAATCAACTTTTGGAGATTTATTTTCCTGGATGATTGAGAATGCATCAAGACGTTTTAAAATCTCCTGATGTTCCAGGATGAGTGAATGTTTCCTTTTAGTGTTAAACACCAGCTGATGAGTGTGATGAGTGTGAATGACAGCACTGAGGAAACAAACTAAGATCTAAACCCTGAACTTTTATATGAATAAAGTCATTTCAATGATGTGAGTGTGTGTGTGTGTGTGTGTTGGAATGTGAACATATAGAGTAAGATAGCAAAGCTGTACCTGTACAAAAATATGCAGCGTCCAACTTGTTTGTGACTTTTATGACTTTTTATGTCTTTTTTTTTCTGCAATTTGTAGCTTTGAGACCAAAACAATCAAAAGACGTTAATAATAACTTGAGATGTTTTCTCGTTCTGGCAGCAGCAGGCTGAAAACAAAGAGAGCTCTGCTGCTCTCACGGAGAAACCCAGGAGTGAAACCATTGTCAGGAAGTCTGGAAGGAAGGATACCAGAGCGTCCGTCAGCAGCCAGGTAAGCTGCTGAGAGGACACGAGTGCAGAAACAACAGCTGTGTACTGAACCTCCTCCTCCTGTGGTCTGTAGATATCCCCTCACACACAGTCCTTATTAGAGTCACAAACCAGTGTGTGAGATACGTGACAGAGCTGGGGAGTGGCGAGAGGAGATACGCTCCTCTCGCACGCTCGAGTTGGCACGTGTGCTTGAGCCGCGGCTCTTTTGAGTGGCTGTGACCACAGTGGTGAGTTTGCGTGTGCTCAGTTACAGCTGCATTAGTCGGCCCACTTTATTCCCTCTACTTCACCTTCTCCCTTTTTCTCCAGAGTAATAGTGACAGTGACACACAATAGTAGCCACTTCCTTAAGAGTTAACGTCATAGCCATAATTAACATATTACAGAAGATTTAACACATGTTTTGGTCATGTCCAACTTTAAAAGCCTACTGGTCAACAATTTTCAAAACACTGTCTGAAGCATTGAATGTTGAGCTTCAACCCAGTGCAGCTGTGGGTGTATTTGGTGTCACCGATAGACGACATATAACATTAAGGAAGAGTCATAAAAACATGTGGAAGTCAAAAAAGCCACGCAAAGCAGCTCTGTGGTTTAGTGACCTGACACAGTTTATATTGTGATTATGATTAACTTTGTCAAAACTATTGTCCTTTAAGTGCACATCTTCAAATATGGTGAATTTCCTTGTGCCTCATTTAAATTCACTTTATTCATTTATTTATTTTCATTTTTTCCCTCTGGATCGGCGTCCAATATGTTTTTGGGGTGGGCTAAATATATAAAAAGGAGCATTGTGGCCTTGCTATATCTTTGTACTACATTGTTGATGCTCAATAACAAAAAAAAGAAATAAAAAAAAGAAAAAAATAACATAAAACTAAGGCAGATTTGGCAAATTGAATTAAAACACAATGCAAAAACCAGACTGAGAAATAATAACAATACTGTGTATTAAATTAATGATACAGATCAAACAGAGGCAACAGGAAAAGGTCAGATACAGTCTGCAGCTGAGGTCAGCCACTCTGAGGTCATGTGACTGGAGTCATCAGAGCGTTTTTCCAGTGCGGTCCAGCAGCTCTGCTAATAATCCAAACACAACGCTGGCTTGATTCAAAGACGAGCCAGCAGTGAGTTCTGCCTGCAGCTCAGACCCCCCCTCTTTACCTTTTCGTTGAACCGTGCTTTTGGGCGACAGAATTTCTGTATCGATTAAGTTTAAACTTTGAAGTTATTTCAAATCACAGTTTTTGTGTTCATGGCACCAGTCCTGGTCTTGGTGAACTCACCACAGTTCTTCCTGTGGTGGCCGTACCCTCTGTGGCATCTTTGCTCTTTGTGTGAATTCATAATGTTCTTTATGGCTCTGGTTGCTTTGGTGCACGAGTTTTGAATCTGACAGACCCCTGACAGTGTTGTCCAAAACATACTCTCAACTTAGTCCCTCGAACCTGCGACGGATCTCCAGCAGGCGTCACTGTTTCCCCTCTCTCCAGCCTGCAGTAAACAGAAGAAAACAAAAGAGGCTTCTGTTGGAGTCCTCATTATCAGGCACTCAGAGCACCAGCTCTCAGACTTTAGACTGTAGGTGGTTGCACTAGAAGCCAATTGGTTTCTGCCAGTTCTGGACTTGGTCCAAATTCAATTTCAAAGAGAAGGCAGCTTGATGAGTTTTTAATCTGCTGTGTTTGGCTAAACACTCTAATTCCTGTCTGCAGCCTTTACCACACCTGAGATTTTACTACATCCAAAAGGAATAAACCAAGAAATCCAAAGTATTTTACGTAAACACTAACAGCACATATAAAATAATAATCTAAGATTCACGTGTGAAGTCAGTTTTAAAGCGTTCGTGCTCGAGGTTCCAGCTCACTGAGCCCATTCACAGCATGTATGAACCTCCTGAATGGCGTGTATGCAGATATGTGATAAACTGCCTTTAGAGGTCAATAAGTTGCAGGACTGCACGCAGCAACTTTTCCCGTATCTTTCACTCTCAGAAAAACCAAATTTCTACACGAGCTTCTTTCATTTCTTTCGACTTTTATGCTCAGTGTCATTTTTTTGCACGGCCTTTGTGTTTTTCCTCGTCAGCGAGTCTTTTCACGGCGTGCAGACGAGCGCTTCAGAAGTTGTCGTGATGTGCTTTTCATAAGTGGAACTGTTTTGAGTCGCCGTCTGCTTCAGTGCGGGTCGTGTGCTACAAAGCAGGATTTGGGGCTCAGCGAGGTGACCTCAGGGTTAACCCTGAGTTTTCAGGGTCACAAAGGTGTTTGACTTCCTGCTGGGGTGCATCGCCGTGGTAACTTAAGCCACACACCAAATGTTCACCTGAGCAGGTTATCATTAAAAGCCAAAATCAACACATAAAAACCATCATATAGCGACTAATCTGTTGGTGTCGCGTTTCTTGGACGATCCATCAAACCTCGACTCTGCGGGACGACAACTTTCCTTCACGAGCATCACTGAGACATGTGCTCATGCAGCCGTCTTATTCCTCGTTTTTCCACTTAGCTGTGACTCATTTTAAAACAATTAACCTGCACACTATTACATATTGTACAAAGCCTTGGTACCAGGTTGAATTTGACTTCTGTTGTTTTAATTGTCCCTCACTCGCTCTCAGACTGTTTAACGCTGCGGGGCTGCAGCTGAATGACATCTGAACAACATGGAAACTTAACTACATGTCACATGTTTAAACGATGGCGCTGTGATAGTCGTCTCACTTGCTGCAGAGATTTTTAATACGATACAGCCGTGGCTCTGTGCCTTTTGTGATGTCGCTCCTTATTTTAACCCACATCACTTCTGATCGGCCTGTTCATGGTCACCTTTCACGCGAGGTGATTTACAGCCGACGGCTCGACTTTTCGATTTGATAACACTCAGCAGTTGCGCCGACTGGCCTCGACACCTTTATTGTAACAGGCGGAGAAGCCTCGATCGCCAGACCTCGTGACATTTCTCTCTCAAGTGATGATGAAGTGACCCTTGACCTTAAGCCCACATGTGGTCCCGCAGGTTTCGAGCGGCTGTCCGTCAGTCCTGGAGTCCTCTGAGATTTCCACAGAGGAGGGCAGAATGAGTCGCTTCCCTCGGCCCGAGCTGGAGATCTCCTTCAGCCCGCTGCAGCCCAACCGCATGGCTCTGCGCCGGCAGGGAGAGGAGGGCGCCGTCACTGTCAAAATCACCCGCTCGGCACGCAAGAGGAAGAGCGGCGAGATGGAGAAGGTAAGAACCAGTAAAATGAAAGCTGCTCGTCATCAGGATTATCGAGGAAGTAAAAATCCTAAATTAGGAGGTTTATTTTTGTTATTAGCTGAACTTTACATTTAATAATTCCCACATATCCAAACAGGTGCAAAATAGTGCGCACGCAAACATCACACTTTAAATGAACCCACACTCGTAACAGCGCGTCCCTCTAGGTTTCCCAGAAATAAATCAAATGGGGGAAAAACCCACCTGCACACAGAAGCCTGAGCCGTGATCCAGTTACAGTTTCCAGTTAC